ACAGGGTGCGACTGACAACAAAAATATTGAATTGATAATGTGAAAGCATTGATTTGAATCTTTCTTCTGCTTCAATCTCTTGGAACGCACGAAAGGAAATTCCTATAATTTTCGAAAGATATGTGTACAGGGTGGGCCAAATTTGACAGTTTGCACAGCATTGTGTTTGTCATGAAAATTGATCCTCAGGCACTGAAATCAGTCACCATATACCGGGTGACGCAGGAGACATGTAGCAGCCTGTAGTTTTTTTATTTGAAGAGATAAAATTTTGAAATCCACAGGGGGTATATAATAAATGGTAGCGCACTTTACGAACTTGACGACAATTTTTTTCAACCACCTGTTCGACCGGAAGTGACCCCAATTTTTTTTTTTTTTCAAATGTCACCGCTTTGAAATTTAAAGATCATTAAACCGATATTATTCAAAATGTTTTGATATTCTGATCAATGTCTGCAGGTTGTCAATAGCTCGTTTGAGTCGAGATGAAAACCTTCGAAAATAACTCATGATATTGAGGAATCTAAGATAGGAACTTATTTTTTCGAATTCAGCTACTCGTACAGAAACTATCTGTCTTTCATTTTCGCCATGTACCTATCACATGATCTTCCCATTTGGAATAATGAAACTAAAATTGTTCCTCTTATACGATGATCCACAGGGCTATCAGTCTATTTTTTCATAATTATTTCACTTAGTAGGCGGTGTACCCTCGGGTGTACCTACACAAAATGTTTTATGTGTTTGACAGTTAATCGATTGCATCAATAATTTTTCTTCTTCATTTGTGTGTTGATTAAAATTGCAACATTGTCAACAACATATCGGCTTTTTCGTTTCTTGAATACATTTTTTGTCTTTATTGATGATATGCAATTTTAATCAACACACAAATGAAGAAGAAAAATTATTGATGCAATCGATTAACAGTTACTGTCAAACACATAAAACATTTTGTGTAGGTACACCGCCTACTAAGTGAAATAATTATGAAAAAATAGACTGATAGCCCTGTGGATCATCGTATAAGAGGAACAATTTTAGTTTCATTATTCCAAATGGGAAGATCATGTGATAGGTACATGCCGAAAATAAAAGACAGATAGTTTCTGTGCGAGTAGCTGAATTCGAAAAAATATGTTCATATCTTAGATTCCTCAATATCATGGGTTATTTTCGAAGGATTTCATCTTCACTCAAACAAACTATTGACAACCTGCAGACATTGATCAGAATATCAAAACATTTTGAATAATATCGATTTACTAATGATATTTAAATTTCATAGCCTACCAAGTGTCGATATATCATCGAATTCATGTCACAGCCAACTTATTCTTTTTGAATAAATAGCAATTCAACAGCGAATCAAGAGATAAATGCCACTTTGTGATACATGGTTGGATAGAGAATTTCAAGGCGAAAATGATAGACTGAAGAAGTACAGGGTGACATTTAAAAAAAAAGTTGGGGTCACTTCCGGTCAAACAGGTGGTTGACAAAAATTGTCGTCAAGTTCGTGAAGTGCGCTACCATTTATCATATACCCCCTGTGAATACAAAAATTTTATCTCTTCAAATAAAAAAACTACAGGCTGCTACATGTCTCCTGTGTCACCCGGTTTAAAAAAGAACTTTTCCTTCAAGAAGAACAAGTTATATTCTTGAACAAGATATAGGAAGGCCGATTTCAGTGCCTCTGGAATGATTGTTATCACAAACTCAATGCTTTGCAGTTATTTTCATGAGAACATACAATTTTTGCCAAAAAAATATTTGTAGCCACTTTTCCAAAATGCCTATTTACGAAGAACACCTTGTAACTCCGAAACGAAGACAAAAGATATCAATATGCGGTTTTCATCATTGAGAGAATAGGACTCCTTTCAAAAGTGACCAATTTGAACCACCCTGTACATATTTAATTCATTGCTGGTAAGGAAAAATTCAAAGATGATCATGTTGACAGTAGAAAATAAGTTAAAAAGAGAATGCTCGATGACGGTTTATGAAACGTTTCAAATGTGCTGTAAAATACAGGGTGATCAGTTAAGGGTAGCGAGCGGCCTGAGAAAGAAAAATCATGATAAAAGTCGCTAAGAGAAATTGCTGGAAATTATTTTCGAGTTTGTCAAACGTCCGCTAGAGGGCGTAACAACCAACACCAAGTAGAAAAATTGGATTTTTATAGAATTTTGTCTTATGAAAGTATGTCGATGATATCATTTTAATATTTACTGTTACTGATCATCCCTACATTTTTTGTCTAAAACGTTTTGTTCTAGCTATCAAAATAAAGCGGTGGGGGAGTTCAATTGTTGTATGGGGCGCCCATATCTAAAATAATTTTGAAGCAGTATGTAAACCTATTTTATTTTTTCATTCCAAAACCGCTTGTCTAATGAAGAAAAGTCAGGAAGTTATTTTTGTTAGCAACTAATAAGAGATTACAAAACTGATTTTTATTTTGATATCAACGATTCAAAAAAAGGTAGATGATAAATTATTTTCATTAAATTATAGAGAAATTTATCCTCTTTCAAAAGATATAAAATTTTTTAAAACATCACATTTGATAATTTTGAAAAAAACTCAAAAATTTGCTAACATTTCAGTTAACGCCATCTAGCGGCGACAGCAAAAGTCAAAAATTCAAAACCAAATAAGCGTTTTGTAGGGAAAATTATGCTCTTTCATATTACCCTGAGTTTGCTGAAATCGGTCGAAATAAACTAGAGAAATCTTGGTTTGTTTGAAAAAACAAATGAACTTGCCCCACTGCTTCATTTTGATAGCTAGAACAAAACGTTTCAGCCAAAAAATTTAGGAAAATGGTCAGTAAATATGAAAATGATATCATCGACAAAATTCTATAAAAAATCCCATTTTTCTACTTGGTGTTGGTTGTTACGCCCTCTACCGGACGTTTTACAAACTCGAAAATAATTTCCAGCAATTTCTCTTGGCGACTTTTATCATGATTTTTTTTTCTCAAATCTTTACTACCAATATCTTATCATATATGGCCGCTCGCTACTCTTAACTAATCACCCTGTACAAAGTGACACATGTACTCATTATTAGCTAAATGAACAAGATTATTGAACATTCCTAAAATAGATGTATCACTGTAATTGGTTAACTCCATAAGTCCATTATTAACGGTAAGAATAGAGTAGGTAGTGATAAATTCTCATAGAATTTTCATCCCTAAATTTTGTATATTTGCTCACCAAGTACTAGTTTCAGATTTGAAACATGTGATGATTCTTTTGGAAACAGTTCAGGAGATTGAAATAAAATGGAGTTCCATTAAAAAAAATATGTTGACGTCATCACACGAACGTCGTTCACCATCTATATCAATCAGATTATCATTATGTAAAACGGTAAATTGAAATAAAATAATAATCGGCCTATTTTTTTACGAAATGTTCAATAGTATTGTTCCACAGTTGCCGCTTTTAGTGATCATTTCCTTCCAAATAACTGGAATTATTAGGGAGCATTTAGTTTGTTCTTCTGTTTAATTTAGAATTCAAAAAATTGTTGAATCAGAATAATATTCCTCCCATTTGAAAAAACAAAAGTAGCTGACGTTCTATGGTTCCTGTGGATGTTTCAAAAATATCTCATCACGGATATTCACGTTTCAAAACAATTCCAGGAATCTAATAATAATAGGACTTTCTATTGAAATTAATGGATCAATTCTTGATTCAAATATTCAGTCCACAAAAAAATTAAAATGTACTAATTACTTGTGAGAATAGTGAAATGAGTAACTAAATTATATGGCAACATCTCAATTTTTGAGTTATTGTGTTAAATTCACGTTAGATAATCGAAAGTTTGTGAATGTATTGGTACTTTGACTATATTGTATTTTCAAATAAAAAACAACTCTATACTAGGTGTCCTGAAATACAGGCATAGACATAAATTATATTTTATATATGGATTATTCATTATATACAGTGACCACAAAAAAGTATCCATCATATAGAAACCATTTTTATTTCATCCAATTCCTTCAGTGATGAAAATTTAAGAAAATAGATATTTTAAAGTTTCCATTCAGTGCATACTTTTTGGTTGTCTATGTATACATGTTTACATGGATTTTGCATGGACGAATCATAATATATACAACTTATATTTCATATGTACAAGTTTGAACTACACACAATAGGTGGAATTGTATGTCCAGTTGAAAAATGAAATTAAAGCTATCAATGTAATATCAAACAAAATCAACCATTTAAAATTTTCAGGAAACTCAATTTTGAGACTGAATCAAGAAATAAGTTATCAAGATCAGAAATTATTCTCTTATTTTGATTTGCAGTCCATGGGAAGCAACCAAAAAAATAATTTTCTCAGATTAATTACTTTGAAAATTGCAGTATTCATTATCATAAAATGATACAGCAAGTTTCTCTTCAGATTTACTCACAAATATGTACTATATGAATCAGCAAAATAATCAGTCTACTCAATATATTCATGGAGTATACTCAACGAAAACTTGCAAGTCTTATTCGATATTTATTTGTTTTCAAGTGTTGGAGAATTGATAAGGAATCTGACATTAGTTGAAATTTCAAAAAATAGGCCATAAGTCCATATCATTCTTAAAGAGCGACAAAAAGATGCCTTTTTACTCCAACTTTGAAACAATCTATACACAAAATATTGTGTCACTTTGTATAATACGGGCACTACCCAATTTTCTTAAAATTTCAAATGATCAAAATTCTCATGAATTCACCTGGACTATAATGAAAAGAATAATCGAATCAGACTAAAATCAACAAAGTTATTGATGAGCAAACTTCATCAATATTTCGAGTGGATCTATTATTTTGACGGTGAACATATATATATATGACCTGAATTTCGGAACATGAAAATACTCCATTATTACCGGACATTCAATCCCACTTCTGAGATTAAATTTTAGCCTACATACTAAACAAATAAACACTCTTCCACTACACTATCTTTATGCTCGTGTCCGTATCAAGCTTCGACAGTGTCTTTTTCACCCTCAGAGACGTTAACCTGAAAGAAAAGATAAAATTTGTCAACAAATGTTCAGTCTCATCTCTTATAATAATTGTTAAAAACAAAATTCCATGAACTGTGACATACAGGATTGGGTGTCATGTCAGCTATAAACTTGAAGAATTGACAATGGGGGTAAGTCCTATATTGGTGAAATGTTCACTACATCAACGAATATTAGAGAGTTGAAGTAATCACTGTACGTAGACCTCCACGTCGACGTTAACGTACGAAAAATAACGTTTACGTATTGTCGTTGAATTGAGTTGAAGTCGCCACTTTGGTCGTCACTGTCATCATAACGTAATAATACATTTTGTTTTCGGTTTGTATTGGTCATTTTTGGTTGTGTGTTTAGATTCGAACATTTATTTCTGTCAAAATTAGAGGACTCCTTGATGCAGAACTCGTTGGTTATCTCGAATTTGATAATTTTGACTCATCGGCATATTTTATTTGATATTTAAGGTATACTTGAAGGAACGTGAGATAACGTACCACCCGTAAGCCCACTAACAACGCAAACGTGAAGAATTGGAAAATGCGCATGCGTAGCTGTCAATTTCTCGTTTACGTTAACGTTCATGACAACACTTCAACTCTCTATTAAATCATCTCAACAGTTCACAGGTGGATTGATTTGAGTTTGCCGCCAAACGCAATGTTTAAACGTTCCATGAAACTATATGGTATTCGAATGGTGTTTTATGAAGTATGACAGCTCAGACAGTATATCAAAAACCAGGTCAACAATAAGTTAACCCACTCATTTTTCCTCATAGTTAGGGTCCCTTGATGGAAATTGACGTTAAAATCATCTTAACAGGGTACGGACAGATACTCGTCTTCTCTCACTCTAAAGTGTTTATGAAACAGTTATATAGTTCCATCCTTATTCATTTCTGGCGATACACACTAGATTTTTGACATTCGTTGTTTTTTAGGTTATATTGAGGTCACTGGCGTATCATACGTGATTTCCATATGGAATTCCTGATTCAACTATACCAAGATATAAATGAACAATCCTCTAGTTTCAGAGTTTACTACTCCAGCATAATCTTCGCGAGGTAGGGAACATATAAATTGTACTGAAAGCTTGATATATTTCACCAAAAGAGACTATTATTCTTCGACTGTATACCAGGGTTGACAGAATTGACTGAATGAATTCTGATTTCAAGCTGAGCAGTAGTTTATTTATGAGTTGAATGAGCAGAGCCTTATGATTGAGAAATGGTGAGTGGCGATATGGGTATCTAAATTACTGTACTCATGTCATGTGTGCTAAATATATTTTCGGAAATCCAACTCAAGAATTTATGGAGTTTCTGATATCACACTATGTATAAAACTTCGTCTAGGACGAAAATTAGGCTGATAAAAAGTAATACGTAAAATGTGTATGAAAATAAAGAATAGAATATACTCGTCTCCCTTGAATAAAATGTCATTTTCGAATAATTTATTGATGAAAGTATCAAAGAATTAGGTATGCAGTATAACTTATAGGCACGTTATTTTCACTCTTGCATCCTACATATTTTCTATTTGTGGTAGAGTAATAATAATAATATAAACTCATCTTGAATTTTCCAATTTTTACGAAACAATCATTATCTCCTTTAACGTCAATTTCCATCAAGGGACACTACTCGTAGTGTATGCCAAACTATGACGGTTTAGTTAACCAACCACACAAACCAGCTCACTGAGGTAGTGCAGGGGGTAGTTAAGGATTCTGATTGGTCACTGGCAGTGTTGTTCTGGTCATTAATTCTGTAATAGATCTATTACTATTCCATGGAGGTTGTTACGTTTTCAAGTTTTGTCATGAATCTATTACTATTTCCAGTTGGATCCAAAATTTGTTGTTTCATGACTAAAATATCTAGTTCCGTGCACAGCGGATGATTATCTTCCTGCTCTATGTTCCGTGATTTTTGTCATATTCCTATCAAAAATGGTGCAAACATTTCTGAATCGTGCGATAAGTTTTGAATGTCAGGCCAATGACGACTAACCCGTCAGACAGTCTAGATATTCAGCCGTCATTGGTCAGGCTTTTTCAGTATTATTTTTCATTCAATATAGGGGAATTATTAACAACTGAACTGACTGACATCTGTCAAGCTCCACAAGTAAAACGTGGTTTGTTTGGTTAGGTTGGAGGAAAAATGATTCATCTATGTGCGTGCAAGAACTGTCAGATGACCGACACTGGAGGCAAAATATTGAACACAACGTCACTTTTATTATTTGTTTACAAGTGATCGAAATAGTTTTCCACAATTATTTTGGCATATGAATCGTATTTTCCGCTATTCATTAATTCGCTCATGCCATCACATTGTGCTGTTGTACAATGCACAAAAACTGCAGCAGAAGACTAAGGAATCCTGTTGGTACATTATGTTTTGAAAGTAAGTACCTACTATAGTCACTCACATATAGTTTTCATTTTTGAAATTTGGTTATTTCTATGATTTCTCATCGGAATTCCTTCTGCAATAAGAGCTAATAGAAATATACCTGAAATTTCTAGAATAATGCAAGAAGATTGGATTCATGCAATCAATCGGGAGGACTGGTCTCCTTGGACTGGTCTGACATGCTGACGATCGTGTGTGTTGTAGACATTTTCAATCTATTAGCAGTATTAGCTTGTATTGCAGAAGTGGCAGAAGGCAGACGGAATTTGAATAAGGAATGACAACATTTCATAATGATAACTATGTGAGATTACTATTTACCTGAAAAATCATATTCTTTAGTCTCTTGCTGCATTTTTTGTGCATTGTACAGCACAATGCGAAGGCATGCTTGAATTAATGAATAAAGCAAAGAACACGATTCGTATGCCAAAATATTGTGAAAAACTATTTCAACCTTATTCCTCTGTAACCAAATGAAAAAGTGAGGTTGTGTTTCAATAATTCACAGAAGAGTGAGGTTGTGTTTCAATATTTTGCCTCCAGGGTTGGTCATCGTGCACGCGACCTATTGGAAAATTAGAAAAATCGAAGGAAAAGGAAAGATAAATAGGAATTGAATCTGTTTGATTCGTTTGGAACTGTGTTTCCGATCCTCCAGGTAGAAATGATGAAATAGTTGAAATAAATAATTTTCCGACCTAACCTCAAAATACCAGAGAGTCCCGAAAGTTGTTTTGATTCCTGTAATTATCCAGACCAGAAATAGCAACCAGTATTCCAGGCTAGACCCCGGGTTTGTAATTGAAGCCTACACTCCCTTGGCTCCTTATTGATTCCAGGTCGATTCAATACCATTGACCCCTGGTTCATACTGTAGGTACCGAGGTAGGTATACCTCCTGTACCTTTCTCCACTGTTGCTACTTTGGCCCTTTGTACAAAAATATTTTGTGCAGAGCAGGTAGAGTAAACTACCTTGCACTCGAGAATCCCCCCCCCCCTGTCAAATACCAGAGTAGTCTCCTGTCCTGAACAGAGCGTCAAAGTAAGGGCCGCAGAAAAAATACACCTTACAGTTCATCATGTATTGAGAAGCTTTTCATGTTGTAATTCATAATAGTAGGCTTAGATGACCTCAGATTCATACAGTTTCCTCCCAGATATCTTGACTCAACTCCCCTAGATTTTGTTACAAAGGGGTTTATTGAAGAAAAAGTGTCAATTCAATCATTTTTCTTTTTTTTTTGTTCCATTTTCTATGAAAAAATCAATTATTGTCAATATGAAAATGAAAATCTGAATACAATAATCACAAAATCAAGTTTTTTGATTATCATGACTACCGATAAATAAGCCATATTGCTTTTTGTGAACATCAAAAAAGGGTGGTAGCATACTTTTCCTAATTGATTTCCAAATCCCGGAAAATTGTTTAGCATAGAGAGTGCCTACTCTGTATACCCTGTATTCTCGCTTTTGTTGGTGTAAAATTGCTTATAGGTCGTGCAAAAACTGTTTTTTTCTACTAGCGTGCGGAAAAGTTCACTTTTCCGCACTCATTTCAGTGTTGAAAAAGTAAATTTGTTAAGTTTTAAGGGAATATTCTGAAATTTGAATACCCAAGATTTATATTTGTATAATTGTAATACATAATGACATAAATGGGGAATTTCATTAGAATTCTGCTATAATTCCATCCAAGTTCCGATGGCCATGGTTGCTGACAAAGCAATGAAAAACCGTAATATCACTTCATTAGAAAAAACTTTAGCTTCTGCAATTAATATGCAGAATGCAACAAATTGCACGTTTAACATTAATATTGATAATAATTAACTTGTGAACTATTTATTCAATAATAAATGTTAACACTTGGGTTTTTTCCGCACGCTAGTAGAAAAATTAGTATACCTAACACGTGCGTAAAGTGACTTGTCACTTTCCGTACTTGTTAAGTAAACTACTATTTTGATATGTAGTGAATATTGTACATTATTTATTCGCGGGAATCAATGTTACTAGGTGGCGCTCGGTTTTCATCGTTCCATGTCAAAGCCACGTCAAAACTGGGGGAAAACAAACTCAATCCTCACTCAATCAATCCCATTAGTGCCATTGCTTGTGTACTGTGTACTGATAAGAGTGATAAGTTTTTAAATTTCTTGACATTAATTGTCGATATTCGATCAAAAACGCTAATAATGCCTGATGTTGTAGATGTTCTTTTGGCAGATATTTTGCTCTATTCAGACGGAAAAAGCCGACCAGTAGTGGAAGGAGAAGCAGTTTGTGCTAATTATGTGATTTTGTGTGAGGCAGAAGACTTCAACAAAAGGCACATTTTTGTACATTGTCTACAAACTTCGGCGATAAAATCTTCCCCACATGAAGTAAAATTGAAGTTGTGGTCCAGAGGAACTACTGTAGAACAATGGATTTGTATTTCTTCATGCAAAGCAGGACAATCTGGGTTATTGTAAACATGTTGTAGCTGTGCTTATATATCAATTGATTTGCTAGTCATAATTAGTTTGAATTGTTTGAACTATCTCCAATTCTTCACCCGTTCACTGTTCACTAAACTAATAAAAATGTAATAATGTAAAAAAATTAACCAACTCAACCATCATCACTACCAACAGTGCCAACACTTTGTCATTGACAAGTTTGACTACAGCTACAGCAAGCTGAATACAATGTAGTTTCTGCACTTCATCCATAGACAACAGTTTGTTTTCCCCCAGTTGGAAGTTCGTATTATGTAACCTAGATGTCGCCCACTTCGTAAATCTCGCGAATTGTGACTTGCCCCTCCCTAAGATTATTTCTGCGGACGCCCCTGTATACCCCCTCCCCGTCCCCTTACTGACCTGACGGCGGGATTCGAGTGCCAGCACTCCTGCATCACCTTCGCCACCGTCCTGAGCACCGCGTCCCCCTCCCACCTCGCCGCCACCTGCGGCCGCACCCCCTTCACGCACACCGCCGCCAGCATGTCCTCGAAGGAGGGGTCGGCGGGCACGCAGTCGTAGTATGGGGCGGCGTACGGCTGGGCGGTCTGTAGAAGGTCGCCCGTCGCGCACCGCCGCGACATCTCCCACAGGACCAGCCCGAAGGCGTACATGTCGGCCGTTTTGTGCGCCTCGAAGCTGGTGGGGTCGATGGATCGGTCCAGGAGCTCGGGCGCCATGTACCTGAAAATAAAAGATATGTTTAGTATGGTGTTCTTCATTTTATAACGAAAGTTGCAATGTTAGATCCTCAATCTCAGAAGGGTTCTTTGAGCCCAGGAATATAATAGAGCTACGATACTAGCGGAGCAACAATGAAAACAAACTTCCCATCCGTTGGGCGCCATGTGCCTGAAAGTAAATGTTCTTCATTTTATAACGAAACTTGCAATGTTGAATCCTCGATGTTTGTCACAGAAGGATTCTTCAAGCTCAGGAATATAATCAGCGGCGGATTTACCGGTACGCTTAGTATGCTGAAGCTTAGGGCCCCGACCCTTGCGGGGGCGCTAGCATATTGCATCATTATTTTCCCATACAATTTGTTTGTATAAATGAAATAGTAACAAAAATAAATCCGAGCAATACTTGGCAGCGGCAACATTGCAAGTTGATCAAAAATGTTAAAAATTATATACAGGGTCCCGCCGATTGACAGTATTGCTATTTCCTAAACAGAAAAAGATAGAAAATTGATCAAATTAAATAAAATTCGCGTATTTTAAACGTCTTCAATACCAATGCCATTTTGCGAACTGAAAGAAATCAGCCGTTTGGTATTTGCCAAATATTAGCTGAATAAGAAAACAAGATCAATGATTTTCGGTTTTTTCGAAATATTTCAGGAACGGCTGGAATTTTTCGAGTTTGCAAAACGGCAACTTTTTTCTCATTTCATCAACTGTCTATGTCCTCTACTGTTTAGGGAGACACCTAGCAATACTGTCCTTATGAAATCGACGGGTCCCCCTGTACAGCAAAGGAATGATAAACGGAGGTATTTTTCAATTGAAATTAGTGCTTAATTAGTGCTTTGAACTTTTTTCCACACTACCAGGGACCAGTTTCGAAGCAGATAGATCACTCATTTTCGAAATTAACAGGAATTAATAGTTATTTAACCAACTAGTGTATTAATGAGGGCGATTAATGATCGAGATATTTCAACGTGCGAGGGAAGCGAGCGCGTTAATGTTCGAGATCATTATTCGCCTTTTAATATACAAGTTGGTTACAAAATTTTTCCGTCGACTATATTTCTCATTTCTCCTGCAATAAAGAAAGCTTGGTTCGCCAATTCATCATTCATTCGGGAACTACTAAGAATCACCAGGAGCCTTGTTACTGACATTAGTGACATTTGACATTTGTCGAAGTGATCAACATAGAAAATAAATTCCTTGTGTTAGAAAACAAGGATTAAAATCGTGTCAGAAACTTGGAAAGGCGAACCCGTTAACGGAAAATCGTCGATGAAATCCATATTTTCGATTTAAATGCAGATTCCGCTAGCATAAACAATGAATGCACGCCGTGTATGTTTGGTTGCCTATAAAACAATCGTGCATTAATAGGGGTCATAAATGAACGATTTCATAAACATTAAACTTACTCCTTAATACGAGGTCGACGAAAAAATCAAATAAAGAACTGTATTGCTGAAGAAAATATTTCCACCTTTAGGAATGCTTCCGATCGGTGATTCGACGAACAGTTTAAAAATTATGATGGTGCATGATTTGCAGATTTGAGAATCTGGAATCGTTATGTATGTTTGTTTCTCCTAGTAAGTAATTTCGTTATGGTTTAGAACCTGTATGAACTCAAAAACATTTTATTTTGTAGGTATCTGATCCTAGTCAGTGTTGTATGTAATTACAGAAGAAAATATTACATGGTATTATTGATTGAAAAAACAGAATGTATTTAGTATTGATTGAAAAGAACAGAAGAAGGAATGAGGGTAGGGGCCACAGGGGCCCGAAGAATTAGTAAGCTTAGGGTCCCAGAAATCGTAGATCCGCCACTGAATATAATGGAGCTACGTTACTAGCGGAGCAACAATGAAAACAAACTTGCCCATCCTTTGGGCGCCATGTGCCAGAAAATCAAGAATTCGCGAAAGTGTTCGAGTTGATGCCGTCGTTAGGTGAAGCGACGTGTTATTTTCTATCGCAAATACGTTCAGTATGGTGTTATTCGTGGAAGTGTTTCATTAGGTATGTGGTGAAAATTGCTATGTAACTATATCGACAAGACTCATCCTCAAGGTTTGTGGTAGAAGGACACGCTAAGCTAGGCGATCGCCTGTGACGCTGGGCCAATAGCCCAAAGATATACAGGGTATTTAATAGCTAGCCTATGGAGTATCATAGAGAAGGTGGGGGCGGGGCTAACCAAAGAACTGTGAGAATATAATGGAGCTACGTTACTAGCGGAGCAACAATGAAAACAAACTTGCCCATCCTTTGGGCGCCAGGTGCTAGAAGATCAAGAATTCGAGAAAGTGTTCGAGTTGATGCCGTCGTTAGGTGAAGCGACGTGTTATTTTGCGAATACGTTCAGTATGGTGTTATTCGTGGAAGTGTTTCATTAGGTCTGTGGTGAAAATTACTATGTTTACTATATCGACAAGACTCATCCTCAAGATTTGTGGTAGAAGGACACGCTAAGCTAGGCGGTCGCCTGTGACGCTGGACCAATTGCCCAAAGATACACAGGGTATTTAATAGCTAGCCTATGGAGTATCATAGAGAAGGTGGGGCTAACCAAAGAACTCTGAACGATTTCGAGGGCAGAAACAAAAGATCTGAAAAGGACGCGATGAGCAGGCAATCTAATAACATCCATTCATATTATTTGCCTACCTTCTTGTTCCCGACCGGACGTTGGGCGGCACGTCGATTTCCTTCGCATCCGACAAGAACTTGACGGCCAGCCCGAAGTCAGCCAAGCAGCACTCGCCGTTCCGCTTCACCAGGATGTTCTTGCTCTTGATGTCCCGGTGCGCGATGGCCGGCTTGCCCTTCGTGCCGAATATCTCGGTGTGGAGGTGCGAGAGACCGGCGGCGATGCTGTGCGCCATCAGAAGGAGCCCGGCCGGCTCCAGGCAGCGGTCCTGGAGGTAGTCGTAGAGGGAGCCGTTGTCGTGGTAGTCGGTGATGAGGAGCATCTGGGTGTAGCTGCCGGTACCTGGAAAGAATATGAGAGATTGCAATGGAGATATCCGTCTCGAGCGAATATTATTCGCGATTCTAGCTACTGATTAAAAGGGAAGCCAGGTATCCGCGTGGTAGAAGCGTTAGTATTGTATTTATGCTGGATTGCCGGTTCGTGGGTTCGAATCCACCGACTGCAGACATTTTCCTGATGGCCTGAGAAAATGCTTGGGATCACACGTTAAAAACCTTGCTCGCACAAGTCTCTTGAAGACTTCTGAGGGTTGCTCGTAAGGGGGCAACCGAATGATAGATAAGAACAATTTTAGAACAAAATTCCCGCTAGAGCCCAAGTGTGGTACATTGTAGGAATCAGCTCTTCAGGAAGAATCTGAAGATGCAATGAATACAGAGTGTTCCATTTGAAAGAGAATTTCTCCAAACCACATGAATCTGTTAGCCAATCGGAGGCCAGCATTTGGTTAGAGGCCACGCCCACTAACCGCAATCTATATCCGGCTACAACAAGCGAGCTAACCGCAAGCTGTTGATAAGAATGGGAATAACACAACTACTATAACAAGATTAAGTATGACATACAAGGTAGATCCGAAATACCTGGTTCAGAGAAGAAAATTGAGAATATACAGGGTGTCTCATGATCAACATATCCCATTTGGTAGATTACAGTTAACGTATGACATATGACATTCGACAGATGACAGCTCACATATGATAGATAATATACGAAATAGGGGGTGCCATTTGAGATTTCAAAGTAGGGGTGTCTGGGGGTGAAGGGGATAGAATTCAATTGATACTGGCATTTTACTTTCCCCTCGATATCTAAATCGACCTGTTTTTTCCGAAAACTGTAAACTTCGCAAATCAAAAGATATGCAGGGTGGTAAGTTTTGAAATGAAAGCCCTGTATAGTATATATAGTATAAGTTAGGTATAGGTTTAATGTTTCTATGTGCTGCTGTACCAATAAATCTTTTTGACAGAGGTAAGTTTGGGTAGATCTCAATATTTTTATTCAAGGAATCAACAGTTTTGCTGTGTAACATTAAAGACAGAAAAGGATTAGAAACTTGGTTTGCAATACGAATTTGAATTTCAACTGAAACCTTCTTTTCTCTCACCTTTGATATCAGCAGCTATGAACCCGAGCACGTTCTCGTGTCTCATCAGCACTGTTTGGTAGATCTCAGTCTCCCTGAACCAACTCTGCTCCTCGGTGGTGAAGAACACTTTGACAGCTACCCGCGTACCCCTCCATTTGGCCAGCCAAACTTCGCCGTACCTGCCCTTGCCTACCGAGTGGATCATCTGGATTTGCTTGGATATAGTTCGTTGCACGAGAATAGGTAGACCTGGAACAAAGAAAGAACGTTGTAGTTTGGGCTGGCAGTATGGCCCTTTCAAAATTCAATTTTTCATTATTTAAAAAGAATTTAGTGAGGAGTGTCCCCAATGTTCAATCAGACAGGATCAAAATAAACAAATGTTAGAACGTCAATTTTACCTTTTGCTTTTTAGATTTCCATTTTTTTTGCTGAATTTTCAAAATTTTCAGAAATTTTTCTCAAATTTTAAAATTTTCTTTCAGAAATTCTCGAATATTTTTGAGTTATTAAATTTTTAAAAATTTTGAAACATCATTTTTTCAATCATTGTGAATTTATGAGATTATCCTAATTAGTGAAAATCTATATACAGGGTGATCCACGGTGGATGGCCTATTAGAAGTATCTGGAGAACGAAAAGACAGAACATTCTGAAAATTGGGATGCGTTGATAATTGAACATTTTTATCCGTCAAAAATATTTTTATCGATACAGTGTTGCCACTTCTATCAGAAACAACAGGCAACTTTGTTATTTGAAATGGAACACCCTGTATATTATTGCATTCAATTATCAAAGCATCCCAATTTTCAGAATGTACTGTCTTCTCGTTCTCCAGATACTTCTAATAGGCCATCCACCGTGGATCACCCTGTGTTTTTTTAAAGATGAAAAGGGGGCATTTCTCAACTTCAACACCCTGTATCTCATAAACTGGTCATAGGATCGGATTGGGTCTCGGCGTATTCGATCATTAGGTCGAGTACTATGATATAGCAGAAATTCAGAAAATTCGACAGAACGCCATTTTTATATAGAAAATTTGTACAGGGTATCCCAATTTGGGCACTTTTGCGGGGTATCTCCCTTATCAGTAAAGATAGAGCATTGCGGTTTTCGCGACAGTGTGCTACTTTTTTATGAAATTAATAATGGCGCAAGCAGAATTGTGATAGCTCTCCCGGTTGTCGAGATACAGGGTGGAATTGAAAAATATCTCTTTTCAGGCACCCTCCGTGTCTCAGTTGAACTTATCGAAGAAGTTAAAACTTGTTTTTATAGAGTTTTTCTCGTAGAATCCAGTGGCGTAGTTATTTTTTTGCTAGCACCTTTTGTTTTTCAGTTATGGAGCAAACATATGTTTTTTTTAAATGGAAAATAATTGTATACAATTATATATTTTTGGAAAGCCCACTTCATGCTCAATGTATATATGAAATAATATACAGGGTGTTCCATTTAAAAAAACATATGTTTGCTCCATAACTAAAAAACAAAAGGTGCTAGCAAAAAAATAACTACGCCACTGGATTCTACGAGAAAAACTCTATAATAACAAGTTTTAACTTCTTCGATAAGTTCAAAGATAACTGAGACACGGAGGGTGCCTGAAAAGTGATATTTTTCAATTCCACCCTGTATCTCGACAACCGGAAGAGCTATCACAATTCTGCTTGCGCCATTATTAATTTCATAAAAAAGTAGCACACTGTCGCGAAATCCGCAATGCTCTATCTTTACTGATAAGGGAGATACCCCGCAAAAGTGCCAAATTGGGATACCCTGTACAATATTTGCTAAATTTTCAAAATTTTCAATTTCTCAAGTATTTTCAAAAATTTTTGTAAGACAGAAAATGTTCTAAAATACAAATTCTTCACCCACCTGATCCAGACCCGCTCGACTGCTCGATCAAACTAGCGAGCGGCCCGTGCACCTCCGCGTACTTCTCCCCCGCATGATACCCCCCCTTGGCGTACAGCCCGAACTTCCTCTGCACCTCCTTCCGTCTGTTCTTCACGAACACCACCGCCACCACCAGCAGCACCAGCGTGAGACAAAAGGTGACGGTGGTGAGGAGGAGGGTGAATGGCAGACCGTCCGCCGTGCCGAAGCCGGGAGCCTCGGGGGTGGGTCGCTCGGGGTAGGCGGGGCGCAGATCGACGTTGCACATGTCCTTGTCGTGGCAACACTGGATGGATTTCATGTCTTCGTGCGGCACCAGGTGGCCCTTGCACTGGGGAACGAAAAAAAGAAAGGTAAATATCGAGGTTACAACTTGTCACTTGTCGTTTGGTCACGTTGCACTTGTCACCTGTCATAATGGCATGTTGCATTTGTCACCTGTCATAATTTTGGTCTACTCAACTGGTATACGGACGGGTCTAAAACACCCGAGGGAACTGGAGCAGGAGTCTTTGGGCCTCGCACCAAATACTTCGAATCCATGGGACAATTCCCCAGCATTTTTCAAGCGGAAATACACGCATCTAGTTCAACCTAGACAGGAAATACCGGAAGAAGGACATCGCGATTTTATCCGATAGCCAAGCAGCCATCAAAGCGTTGAGCTCTCCCTACATCAACTCGAAGATGGTATGGGAATGCCTAAGCAAATTGAATGAGCTAGGCAGCAACAATAAAGTTATCCTCCTCTGGGTGCCAGGGCATATCGGAGTGGAGGGGAATGAACAAGCAGACGCTCTGGCACGACAAGGGGCTTCAACGCCACTGATCGGACCACAGCCATTCTGCGGCCTTGGAAATTCCTATTTCCAAGGAGAACTTGAGAAGGCGGAAGGAGCCTGGAGAGCCAGACAATGGAGAAGACTTCCAGGACTACGGCAGGCTGAAGATCTCCTTGGAAATTTCAACCGAGAAAGATCTAAGACACTGACAAACCTCAGCAAAGGCAGTCTCAAAGCAATAACGGGATTTCTAATGGGGCATTGCAGACTCAAAGAACACCTAAGGAAGCTAGGCTTACAGGAGGACGGCATCTGCAGATTCTGTGAGGAAGAACCAGAAACACCTCATCACATACTGATGGAGTGTGACGCTGTACATCACAAAAGATTGAACATACTGGGAACACACCAGCTGACTGTGGAAGCAATACCACAGCTGGACCCCCTCAAAATCCTCAAATTCCTGAAGGAATTGAATCTCGAGGGGCTGCTATGAACAGGAAATCCTTGATATAGCAGGAGCAGATGGGGCACAATAGATCTAATTAGGTCGCAGCGCATCTGTCACCATCCAACCTACCAATATCAATACCAATACCAATACCAATGGCATGTTGCATTTGTCACCTGTCATAATTTTGGTCTACTCAACCAAAAAGATACATATAATGATAAAGATGGAAAGCTCTAGGTCATAGTCACTGGAAATCATGCACTATACGAAGCATCGCTAGCAGGATGGTACTATACATTCTCCATATTTTCCCCCTTCGACCTCTGGCATTGTCTTTCCTTGTATACGGAAATGTCCGAAGGCAATCATACATAGGAGTCAAGTCGTGAGTTTTGTCGGTTACTCAGCCGAAAAGATACATACAGGGTGTTATTTAAGTACGTGGCCAAACTTGAAGGGTTGATTCTTTGAGTGATTCTAAGACGAAAAGTTCATATCAACATAGGTCCGGCAATGCTTCGTTTTCAAGATACAGGGTGTCAAAATTTTTAAAAGAAATCGTTTTTTTCGTAAATATCTTAATAACCATTCAACCGATTTTATTGAAATTTGGCAGTGTTATTCAAGGTCGTAAAGGGCTAATTTAACCCTGACTATATCGAAATTATCATGTCCAGTGGCGTCCCGGAAGGCACTGTAACCAATATTTTTGACAGAAAAAATGTGCGCCACTGATTTTTTTGCAATTTTTTGTGTTTGTTCACATTGAGCAACTAAAATTACAACTTTTTTATATTCAGAATTTTTTTCGTATCTTGCTTTGTTTTTGAGAAAAAACAAAAAAATCACTTCTACTACGTACTTCTAATTACGTAAAAAAAAATTAAAGCGTCCAGTTGCATTCAAACAATTCCAGCGACTTTTGATGACTTCTAAAGAGTTCCATGACTTCCAAAGAATTCCAGGGACTCCCAGTGTCTCAATGAATTCGAAGAAAATCTACCGACTTTCAAACCGATAAAAACCTATTTGAAGAATTTTGAAAGCATCCAGTTGCTTTCAGAATTCACTGACTGTCGATGACTTGCAAAGAATTCTAGTGATATTTTGAAAGTTGTGGTGACTTTGACAAAGTCATTTGAGGGCTTGCAGCTACTTTCAAGAAACTTCAGTAACTTTGAATGACATAAAAAAGGTTCTCTGACTTTCAAATATGTCAAAAAACACTCAAAGGCTTTTAGAGACTTAAACTTTTAGAACAAATTTTAGAACAAACAAAGAATTTCCAATTGGTATAAAAATATTCCAGTGACTTTCAATAAATAATTTCCAAAAGCTTCAAAAACTTCCGAAGCTATTCAATGATTTCCGAAGACTTCGAGAGAATTCCAAAGCGTCCGTCCAATGACTTTCAATATCTTCAGAAGACTTCCAAACATTTTAGAAGAGTCACGAGGAACTCTGGTAACATTGTATAAGAGTACCCAATGTATTTGGAGTGGCAATACTGGTTTGAATTATCGAAGTACAACAAGTTTATTTCATTTTATTAACAGTGCTGCTTAGAAGTTGATTTCAGGGATGATTCCACAAGTGCGAATGTAATTTGAGAGATTATTGCTCAGTTCAGTTGATGCGTCAATAAACAAAAACCCTCGCAATGCAATAATCACTGTAGCTAGCTTACCAAGATTAATTCACGAGGCAAAAATGATAATAAATTAGCAATTTCATTGGTTTTAAGCGGTTGTTATTCAACTGTCTTCACCCTATGGCCTATACCAATCGTGGAAAACTATCACTTTTCACGAAACACCATAAAGCTGTTATATACTGGCTGAGAGAAACTAACGAGAGAGAGAGAGAGAATATACTTTATTGTCATGAAGAAAAGATACATTCTTATGGACAAAGCACATATGTAGAGTAAAAAGTGTAAATAAAAAACTAAAAATATAAACAGACATTAAAAAGACTCTTACATTAGCAAAGGGTACATATAATTAGAATTGATCAGAATAAAATTCCTCCAAACTATAGTAAGGCCGATCTGATAATAGCAAATGGACAGCTTTTTTAAAATGGTCAATGTGGGTGATATCTCTTATATAGTCGGGCAAATGATTGAACATCTTGCATCCATTATAAATGAGTGAATGAGCACATGATAATTATACAAAGTAGAATATCAATCTGTATTTATAGCTAATAAAGATGTCAGCAAAATGTATTATTCAAATGTAGACGTGCAACAACGCGAAAGAGCCAAATGACATTTATGCAGTTCTGATGCAGTTAATTCCTCGCCAAATTTGGACGTTAGGCGCCACACTCCACTCTGCGTATTATATGCAGCTTATGGGCAGCCCGTGTAATATGGTCAATGTCTTGTATACAGTGTGTCCCAAATTCGATCCTCACCATTGGGATCTCAGTAACTATGAGAGATAGAGAAACGGTTAAATTAGCAAAGCTGTGAATCAGGATCTATCAAGAAATCCAGGCTAGCTTCAGTCATTCTTGAGTTATTTGAGAAAAAATGAAATCTTGTATATTTGTTTTTCTGGAATATCTCGTAAACTATTGCAATGGTCCGTTAGTTTCTGTGAATGAACACTCGGTATCAAGAAGTTAGATTGAAGGGGTTGTCAAGGGAGACAAAAAGAAGAGGGTAGAAACTAATAAATAAATGGAAAAGAAAAAGGGATTTTGGTAAAAGAGAGAATCCTATTTTTTTAAAGAATTCTGATTTGAAAATCAGCAAGAATAACATTATTGAACATATCAACACGAGAGCTTCCACTGTATCAACTTGGGTTGATTGTACCAGCCATGGAATATAGATGGAAATGTAGATGATCCTGCTCGTGATCCTGATCCTTTACGTATATACTCTAACATCGGAATACTAATCGTATATGGAAGGTTGGGATGGTTCAAATTTGAAAATAACATTGAGTACATCTGAGAGCAGGTAGGAGACACTTTGCCAGGTTCATTTCAAGACGTCAGTCAATTGAATTCTTCAGGAATATAAATTTTGAAATCTTCAATCTATTTTGTAAAGGATTCTGGCCAGAATTTCTATTGATTTATCAATTTCGAATCAATTCATATAATTTCATGTCACTATCATTTGCGCATTGTCAGTCGTTGTAACTACCGAGTGTTCATTATTATGTTGTATTACTGTGAAGTGCACCCTTTATTTGTGGAATTTAAATGATATACCCTGAGATCGTTACACTATTGATTTTATGAAAAAATGACATCAAGATGCTGATAGCACTTTTTGGTGTCTTTTCAATGGTTTTGTCAGTATTCCATCAAAATGTGAAATTTCTGAGATATCACCTACAACTCCGATTTTTCTTATGGACGCCATATTGGATTTTCACAGATTTGAAATCAGCATAAAATTTCCTTTCTAGTGATTTATCACAGTCACAGTTTTATCTCATTAGGAGTACTGATTTCCAATTTTTGTTTTTATGTCCAGTAGGCTATGCGCTACACTCTCTATAAACAATAACGATTATGTGTTCTGGCACAACTTTCATAGAGTAGGCTTGGAGCCAAGTGACATTTCTGTAAACGTCACGAGAAAATACAAGTTAATTATTTAGGGGCAAACAATGCCGTTCACAAAACCAGTGACAGTACAAGGGTTCCCTAACAACACCAGTACATCCTAGGGACTTCCCATGGACGTCCCTGATTTCATACTAGGACATCCCAGGGATGTCCTTTGTCGGGACAACGTACATACTAGGGATGTCCCAGGGACATCTGCTGGCCGCTAAAAAAGGCATCCAAGGGATGTCCTTCTGGTACGTCCCTGGGATGTACCAAGTACGATGAAAGGATATCCCTAGGACGTCCCAAGGATATCTCAGGGACATCCCTTCGACAAAAGAAGAAAAAATGTAGGTCGAGTACGGATTGAACCCGGGACCTTTAGCTTATCATGCACGCACCTTGCTCCATTGGCTATCATGCCTCCTGAAGATTTATGTACTAAACAGATTTATAAACAGGACTTAACTACAGAAACCTGAATAAATACAACTTCATTAGGAATTGGGTATAATTATTATCATTCTTGGGTGTTTAAAAATGAGGGGCATTATGCATGTACGATTTCTGTCTGCGAAAAATGGTAATTTCTTAAGAAGTTCTGAGACTTTATTCTTTATTTTCATTACAATCATTTTCCGGAAGAGAAACAAACATTTTCAAAAAAATTCAACTCAATAGTTTGATGAAATTCAATGACTCTGATGTGAATGGATATCAGATACTCCAGGGACACAAATAGGATAACCTAGGGATGTACCGGGCGGGATGTCCACTGGACAACCACTGCAGGACATCCCCTGGATGTCCCAATCATGTCCTTGTACCGCGGGACAAAAAAGGGACGTGCCTAGGACATCCCTGTGTTGTTAGGGTTAAGACCTGGTGATAATGAGCGTCGTCTCGAGTTTTGTCACTGGTTCGTCAACCAGTGTGAAAGAATCGAGAACTTTCCATTGAATATCTGCTGGACCAATGAAACGATATTTCATAATAATGGAATTCACAATAAACATAATCATCATTACTGGGCACAAAATAATCTGCATGTCATCAGAGAATTGAAGTAGCAGAACAAATTTGGTTTCAATGTTTGCTGTGGGATATTTGGTACCTTACTAGAATTTTTGTCCATAAATAACTGTTTCCCATTGTGTATTTTTTTTCAGACAGTAGACTACTAGGTCCAATAATCTACGATTATAACTTGCATGGTCCACGTTATTTAGAGCTATTGAGAAATGAGATTTCGAATTTCATAGACGAGATACCACTTGCTGAATATGAGTTAATGTGGTTTCAGCAAGATGGTGCCCCACTGCACAATACGCGATTGGTTAGGGAATATCTCGAAAATCAATTTGGTGCCTACTAGGTCCAATAATCTACGATTATAACTTGCATGGTCCACGTTATTTAGAGCTATTGAGAAATGAGATTTCGAATTTCATAGACGAGATACCACTTGCTGAATATGAGTTAATGTGGTTTCAGCAAGATGGTGCTCCACTGCACAATACGAGATTGGTTAGGGAATATCTCGAAAATCAATTTGGTGCCTACTAGGTCCAATAATCTACGATTATAACTTGCATGGTCCACGATATTTAGAGCTATTGAGAAATGAGATTTCGAATTTCATAGACGAGATACCACTTGCTGAATATGAGTTGATGTGGTTTCAGCAAGATGGTGCCCCACTGCACAATACGCGATTGGTTAGGGAATATCTCGAAAATCAATTTGGTGCTAAATTAATTAATACTCATGGACCTGTTAGATGGCCTCCAAGGTCGCCTGATTGTACGCCTCTCGATTTTTACCTGTGGGGCTACGCCAAAAATAAAATTTATGAAGAGCCAATTCCAGATATTGATGATCTACGAGATAGAGTGATGGACACATTCCAGCACATCAACAGAGTTCATCTGAGAAAAGCAGCGAATCATGTTCGATCGCGAATATTAAAGTGTATCGAGAACAATGGAGGCCATTTCGAGCAGTTCAATTGATTTTTTATATAAAAAAAAGATAGAATGAAACTGTGATTGTGATACATCACTAGAAAGGAAACTTTATGCTGATTTCAAATCTGCTGAAATCCAATATGGTGTCCATGAGAATAATTGAAGTTGTAGATGATATCTCACAAATTCGACATTCTGATGAAAAACTGACGAAACCATTGAAAAGAACACCAAAAAGTGCTATGAGAATGTTGAAATCATTTTTTCATAAAATCAATAGTTTCCGAGATATTCCAACAAAACAAAAATACAAGATTTCAGTTTCTCTCAAATATCTCAAGAATGACTAAAGCTAGCCCGGATTTCTCAATAGCTTCTGATTCAACATTGAATTTGCTACACCTTTGCCACTTTAACCGTTTCTCTATCTCCCATAGTGGCTGAGATCCCAATGGCGAGTATCGAATTTGGGACACACTGTACAGTGTGGCCAAGGCCAAGATAAGGTTGTCGCATGGGAGGATCTAAGAAACTGGAGGAGATACGAATTCGGTTGAATGAGCAAAAAGGAAATAATTTTTGTCACAAAGGTCCTGATTCATTCCACCCTGTTTTGGTACTGACCTGCAAGAACCCCTTCTCGTCGTCAGTGAGGCAGCCGTACGTGTAGAAGGGCACATCCCTTTCTTTCTCCTCATCGTATACCGCCTCCACCAAGGTGAAACAAACGCCGCCCGTCCGAATTTCACAAGTGCCGTTGTGTTGGTTGTCCGGACAGTGGCCCTCGCAATAGCATCTTTTCACTGAAAAAAAAAAAAGATAATACATGAGATGCCAAAAACGTCTGAGAAACGTGGCAGCACGAATTTTTAGGTCACTAGTCTACTGACGAAACATACGATCTGGCAACCCTGCGAAAACAGCAAATGACAACACTGACATTTACGAATATGCCACTCAGTGTTGCCGTTTTATGTATAATCATGTATAATAATACAAATTATGTATAACTTGGAGGTCTGTGTATAATTGTATGTATCTTTCAATTTTATGTATAATTGTGTATAATCTGCAGAAAGCAACTCTGTTATTTAGAAGTGACATTTTCGGTCACGGATCGTAAAAATGATAAAAAAGGTTATGTTATTTGTTTAATTGAATGTGACAGCAACAGCTGTGCACAGAACTATAAAGAAACCCACAGAATGCGAAAGTGTCAAGGAATACATCATATTGTTGTTGGTTCACGTTCTAATGTTTCATGTTCTTACGATTTCTGATCACGTCATACGTCATACGATTTGTTCTGTTGTCATGTTATCATGTCATTTATCATTTTCTATGCAAAAATCAAGGATTCGAATTTGATTTGCATTGAGTTTTTCAACTGCTTTTTTCCAATTGCTTCCCTCCCAAGGTAAGTCGAATACGAATATATTTTCAATAGACATAATCGACATAATATACGAAAAAACACAAATGGTGACTATCAACATTTCTATACTTGGCTTGGGGGGAGGTAATTTTAATCAACTTCTCGACCCCTTGCTGGATCTGCCACTGTTTATAAACCTATAGGCCTGTTCGTTTGTGTTTGATCTACCTACTGAACTTGATTTTTTTCTATGACTTTCTCTGTTTACATCATATCATGAACAGAGACAACTATGGGAAAAAAATCAACTTTAGCAAGTTCATCAATACAAGCAAACATGCCTTATATTTCATTTGAAGTTACGAGTTATTCCGAATCGTTCAGGAAAACAAGCGTATGCGAACAAGAAAAATGTCGTTACTATTCATTTCATATTTATCTATTTTTTATCAATAATCAACCGTTCGAGTTATATAGTGACATAATTTCAAGGTTGTAGCTAGAATATCCTTATCATGATTCACAAAATTCGTTTGACCAAACTGTTTGCATTGATATTCTATTGATTTCCTATGCATGCATTCATTATGAGGGATATATCAGATGAGAATTTTGGTGTTCAAAAGTGACAGGAGTTTTTTTTTATGTTCTGGTTCCCACGAAAAGGGATATCCTGTAATGTTCAGAGAACATCGTGAGAACCAAGGGAAATAAGGTAGGCATTGGTGTTCTTCTTAAATTTCTGGAGGTTATATGCCTCGGGGAACACCTCCCTTGGCAATGTGTTCCAGAGCCTCGGTGTTCGTTGGATGAACGAGTCTTTGGAAAGAGATGTTCTGCAGGTCTCCAAAGTGACCACGAATGGGTGCGAAGCCTCAACTCGACGGGTTAATCTCGCGAGGACTGCCAAGGTAGGAACAATTGTTGATATTTCAGAAGAGCATCTTCCATGAAAATATCTATAAAATAGAGCCAGATCGCCAACTCTTCTACGGTGTTCCAGAGGGGCGAGTGAGTTTGTGAGCGAGGCATCACCCACGAGACGAATTGCCCTTTTTTGGCATATACGTATTAATAATCAATCAAAACATCGTGAGAACCAAGGGAAATAAGGTAGGAAATGGTGTTCTTCTTGAATTTCTGGAGGTTATATGCCTCGGGGAACACCTCTGTTCTACAGGTCTCCAAAGTGGCCACGAAGGGGTACGAAGCCTCAACTCGAAGGGTTAATCTCACGGGGACTGCCAAGGGAGGAACAATTGTTGATATTTCAGAAGAGCATCGTCCATGAAAATATCCATTAAATAGAGCCAGATCGCCAACTTTTCTACGATGTTCCAGAGAAGTCAGTGAGTTTGTGAGTGAGTTTGTGAGCGAGGCATCACCCACGAGACGAATTGCCCTTTTTTTGGAATCCCATCTTCAGTATTTTATAAAAATTAAAGAAAAATAGTGGGAGTTTGAGGGGAATTGTGGGAATTCAATCTGGACATTGGAATTGGTATACTAAATCCACATCAGTGATATGAGATGCTCCTTGATTTTTTATTAATCCTTTTGAATCGAGTCTCGAACAAGGCCGCTATGCTGGAGCGAGGGATTTTTGATGGAAATACGGAACATTTCATGCCTATTAGAGGGACTATTTGTTGAAGGCAGGTGACAACACTCTGGAATACACAAGGTTCGCGTATGCGTTGAACAAAAGCTATCATTTTGTGTTGATGCATGTATATTTTTATGAGGAAACCAAAATTACAAAGGAAGAGATGACTCCAACGACTAACCTAATTTCTGATATGTATAATGTGGTAGGCAAAAAAAAACAACGACACGAGGAAATCACTGTAATGGCATAGGTAATAGAAACAAGAGATGTTCACGAATTCCCACACATTTACAAACTTGTCCATTAGGACTTGCGACACAACACAATGTTCCACTTGACCGATTTCTCGCGTTGTCTAGTTTTTTTTTTTTTCGAGTCGTGCCCATACTCCTAAAATGGCGCCGCAATCACGACCCGATGCGGGAAAAGAGCGGACCGTTCCAGCAGATTTTTAAATAATTAAGAGTCGGCCAAGAAAGATAATGTGTTTTATGAATAGTGAACACGTGTGTAGGTATGAAGTAAAGTTGTTCGAACGTCCGGGTATGGTACGGGAACCAGTGGTGGGTGCTTTCTAGAATTCTGAAATTTCAGATTCCAAATAAGAAACAAAATTTATGGAACTTTTGAATATTTTGTCAACCATATCCCCAGGAATACAGGAATTCTCTCTATACAATTGTTATACAACTCGAAAAAAAATCCAAAAAAACTACGCTATATAGCACATAATGGGAAAGAGCACTGTTTTTTTGAAACTACGAAACGTGGGATTATTTTGAAAATTTGGTTCCTTGGATAATTAGTTGTGTTCTATCGACTGACTGAGTTGCGTTCTCCAGAAACATCTAATGTGCCATCCACCTAGCCTGATGTATACCAAAAAACTAACACTATATATAATAAGTTTGAATTTTTTCATTCATAATAGAACGATGAAAAAATGAATTGAAATATGTTAATTTCAAAACACACACTTCCAACGCTATTTCAAATGGGGTCATTGGGGATGAAATCCGTCCATTCCTTTTTCAAAAGATGAATCATGATTTACATTTTGATGTACAATCAATATTTTGAGTTGAAGTTATCAAATCTATAGCTATTTCTCTCTGATCCCTTGTCATCCTGTTGTGTTTCAGTTTGATTGGTCAAGTCAAGGACACTTAGCGTGTTGGGACTAATGAATACGTCACACCAGTCACACCATTTCAAAATTATTTCGTTATAAACTTATTAATTTTAACCATCTGAGTCGATCCACCTTGCAGTGGAGTGAAGATAATAAGGCAGGAAGAAAATCTTACAGTCAACTCCACCAAAACTATGGTTTGCTTCAATCAACATTGGAAATGGAACATGTTTCGAAGCATCAAAGCTTTATCATCAGCATAATCATTATGCTGATGATGAAGCTCTAAAGCTTTGAAGCTTCGAAAAATGCCCTACCTCCAATGTGGAATTAAGTATAGTCTTGGTGGAGTTTACTGGAAGATTTTGTCCCTGCCCTTTTATTAATCTCAATTTTTGAGAGAAGAAAATTGAATGGAAGATTCAAAAATTCAAAGTTGGTGAAGAAAAATACAAGTTTTTTCCTAAACTATCTGAAACTGAACATTTCACCTCACTGTTTTTGCCACGTAACGAAATAACAATGAATCTACATGGCCCACATTCAGTCAGGAAAAAACCGATGGCACGCCTATGGCTGGTGGGTACACAGTTGGCAGCGCTGGCAGACCAGCCGCCTATGCCTATCCCATACATTACATCGATATAATACACCCACAGTCAAGCTGGCCTTGGTTAGGACTTCCACCGATGAAATGCCTTAGAAATTGTCCATTATATTACGAATCCTGATATCGCGAACACCGAACAACATATTATTATTATCGACATACCTCTATAGCATAGGTACTTAGTTTACATTTTAGATGTTGAAATGGTGGTCAGATGAACACTGAAATTTTATCTTCTATAAAGGTGGTTAGAACTGCTATACAACAAAACTCTGCAAAAAGGGGAGAGAGAGAAATGTGGAGACCAGACTTTCAATGAGCAGAGACTTCCAGTGACTCTCAATGACTACCAAAGACTTCACGTGCTGGCCAAAGACTTACAGTGACTACCAAAGATTGCCAGTGACTATCAAAGACTTACAATGACTTCCAAAGTTTTACTATGACTTCAAAAGACTTTCAATGATTCCAATCACTTCCAGTGATTGCCAATGTAGTGTACACCAGTCTTCCAAGGAGATGTACTCCTCGCAGAAAGGACCCCATCTCAAAAAATGTTTCGATATCAAAAGATCTCGATGACAATTTAATTCATGTATGAAAAATCCCACAAGCCGCGTGATTTTGTCATTATATGACAGCGAAAAAAGTTTGTTTGCCCTAAGTTTTCCAGCGACAATAACGAAACCCAGATCTATGCGGAACCTAACTTTTGAAAGCATGACAACTAGCCATGAACAAAAATTTTGGTGAATAAATTGAATTGTCTTACCGAATTACGCTTTAGCTTTTTTGTTAGTCGAGGTGAACCTGGCATTTATGATTCGAATTTTGTTGCCATTAAGTAATTCAACTCAAAAAACTGCCAGAAAAAATTACTCGTCCTACGGAGTCGTAATTTTGTCAGATATAGTTTTTTTCGACAAAAAAGTGGAAAAACTACATCTACAGTCATTATAAAAGTAAAATAATCATATGAATATGTTTCACCACTACGTTATACAATAAATCGAGCAATAAACCTTTGCAAAAATCTACTAGGAGACCAATGTATGAAAGTTGTGAAATGAAATTTTAGATATAAGATTATGAAGCTGAAAATCCAAGACAAAATCAACTTTTGGAAC